CGTCTAATAATACGTGTTTGCGGACGCTTGACCCCACACAACGATACTATATGAAATATAGTATCGTTCCAGCATGTTTTGGACAGTGGTGACCACATAAAAACATTTGTTGAGCCACAAACTACATCAACATGCGAGTTCCATGATAGGTTGCAGTTGATTTGTGTTCCTAAGAACTTCACCATGGATGGCTCAATTGACACTCCTTCAAATGACAGCGGTAAATGCAGAGGTGTTCTATGTTTGCTATAACATTCTGAATATTCCGTCTCATTATCTGGCGAACTGGATAATTTATGTATTTCGACAATTCAGATATAGACGCCGATTATGTTCCCTCTGAAGAATCCAGCGAAAGTGGAAAAGAAAATGTAACTTTAAATTTTCATAATCATGATGTTAATCACGATGAACATGTTAATAATCTGGAGACACCTAGTACAACTTGCGAAACTAATTATGATCATAGTAACATCGTGAAGAAACAAGATTCAGAAAGAAAACGTAGATGTATTCGCAAGGAGAAAATGGGAAAGAAACGAATAAGTTTCCAAACGAATAAGGTTCCAAACAGTACATCACAAGTACAGGGAGTAATAGTGGCATTTATAAATATGTACTTACATAATATACTTTGTGAATCTATATTAAAAAATAAATAAAAACAGAACTGTCAGTTAGCTAAGAAATGTCTTTTGATTTGTATAATCAGGCAGTTCAATATATTTAGGACATGACTAACAGAATTAGAAGTATCGCACATTGTATAAATTGAAGATTTTTTCATAATATTTGTACGCGGAGTGTTGAGATAAAATGTGACACTATTCCTAGATGACCGTCTAGGAACCCAAAAATTCAACATATGTAACAGTACTTACAGATGTGAGTATCTCACACGGTAATGGAAGTATCATCTGCATACATAAACACCCTTCCTTGAGATATGTGAATGGGGAGGTCGTTAATGGAAATCAGGAAAATTAGAGGACCGAGTACGCTTTCTTGGGGTGTATCAATATCTGTTTCAAATTCCTCCGGGATGACGTCATCAATCTTAACAATGAATTTTTTTCGTTCGATAAAGGATACGATTCACTCATTAATTGACCAGTTCCAGCTACTGCTGGCGCAATTTTAGGTACGTTTCGTTGATCTACTCACAATGTGACTCTGCTGTGGTGGTTTGGCCCAGTTGCAGAAAGTTATAGTGAATCAAAACAGCCGCTGACCACCATACAGTAACCACTTCCTTTGGGAAGTGCCTGGGCGGCTTATCGGTGTCCTCAAATTCGCGCCCTGGATTAGAGTAGGTCGACCACTTCTGGGCTAATCTCCGAAGCTGAAATCTCCGGAACTTAATCAATGTAATAATGTCGAACAGTGCGTTCATTGGCCAAAAATCGCTTAACGACATCATATAGTGAAAAGCTGAAAGAGGCAGTAAATTAAGATTTAGAAAACATTGAACAGTAAATATCAACATGGAATTTGTTTTTCGTTAACCAGCTGTTGCACCCCTTTGAACGACAACCCTCAGAAGTCGAAACTTGTGCAAGATAAGGACAAACGAAGTCTTGTCTTTTATCGTGTAATTCCTTACATAGTGCGATTCCTTATACATAGTAAAAAATTCTCTGTCAATCAATGTTGAATGTTTAAACTGTACTGAAAGAAATCTCAATGAATTCAATTATTAACTATGATTTGATTTCTTTCTACTGTAGAACAACAAAACAATGTGGGGGTGTTGGCAAATGGGCAAGAAAAGACATCCAAATACAACCTATTGACTTAATGATTCCTGTAATGAATAGAATTTTGAAGTATATGCGGCATCTTTCAAATCAAAGGAAATGACAAATATCATTTTGAATTGCTACAGATCTCCCTGTGTAGAAATTTTATCTTATGCGGGGATTTCAATCTTGAAGAATATATTATTTAATTCGTTATGTGGAGTACTATCATGTTTTGATTTGCGCCCGATGGTGAGGTGGCCGATTAGGATGACATATACTACATCTACAAGAATAGATAAAATTTTTATAAATCTTGATAACAAAGGGCTTTGCTGTGTTTTTGATAATGAAATATCCGATGATATTTCCGATGATATGTTGATGAGTCAAAAAATGCTCTGCTATTCCGATTTGCTGGTTTCTCCTCGCTGTGTGTTTCTTGTGCCCAGCAATGCGAACATTCCAGGGCCTCTTAGTTTCACCGATATATGATTCTCTGCACTCGCAATGTATCCGGTAAACGCAATTCTTGGAATCGCATTCCGCGTTTGGTGGCCTGGTTTTTGTGAGCCTGCTACGGATAGTGTTCCCAGATCTGAAGCAGGTCCTGATGTTATACTTGGACCCAATCCTTCTTATCCTTTTCGATGATCCTCTGATGTAGGGGAGTACAAGTACTGGTTGTGGCGGCTTCTATTCCTTGTGGAGCTCTTGCTGTCTTCTAGCTAAAGCCTGTTCTACCATCACTTGGAGTAACCATTCCGTTGAAGGTCATTTTTGATGATGCCTATTTCTTTTTCGAGACCTTTCTTTGTATTACAGAGCTCGAAAGCACGGTCTAGTAGAGTCTTGATGGATCCTCTCTTAGTTGATTGATGGTGGTTGGTTTCTGGTTCAGATACTGTCCTGTGTGAGTGGGTTTTCGATATACAGATGTTTCCCATTTAGTGTCGGTCCTCTTCACCAATACGTCTAAGGAAGGCAATTCGTTGTGGACTTCCTTCTCCATTGTGAAAGTGATGGAATGACTTACGTTGTTGTTGTGCTCCAGAAAAATGTCTAGTTCTGCATTCCCATGGTTCCATATTATGAAGGTGTCGTCTATGTATCTCAACCAGACTCAGGGCTTCTTGTGGGCTTCTTCAATGGTAAGAGTTTCAAACCACTCCATATATATATAAGCTATAATCGGTTAAAGTGGCGATCCCATTGGCAGTCCCTCATCTTGCGTAAAAAATTCGTCCTTCAGTTGGAAGTAGCAGTTTCGTACACAGCATCCTAGTAATCCCATGATTACTTGTATCGATAAGTTTGTTCTATCTTTCAGGTCCCCATCTTCGGATAGCTTCTTCTGTATGATTTGAAGTGCTTCTTCGACAAGAACGTTGGTGTAGAGGCTTTCCACGTCGAAACTGATCAGTTGATCCTGCTCTTCGACTTCGATTTCCCCTAGTAGTTCAACGAAATGTCTTGAATTTTCTACAAAAGATGATGTTTTACTTTGCAATGGTTTTATTACTGGTAGTAAAAACCTGGACAAGTTCTGAGTGGCTGAATCTCTGGAACTAATGATCGGTCTGAGCGGACTATCCTTTTTGTGAATTTTGGGTAGTCCATACAAGTGAGGAGGCTTACTGTGGTGTGGTGTTAGCGATGATCGCTTTTTTCCCGAAAAATAGACTTGGTGTTTTTTGAAAGTCTGGTACAACTTCCTTTCAATTGATGCAGTAGGGTCTCTTACGATTTTCGTGTATTTTTGTTTCTGAAGCACCTCTTCGATCTTCTGTTCGTAGAGATCAGTATCCATCACAACAGTAGCCTTTTCCTCATCTGCAGGTAAGATCTTGATGGTGTTGTCTCTACGTAGCCCGTTCAGGGCTCTTCGTTCTTCATTGCTGACGTTAGGAGTTGGAACTGGTTCTCGATCTAGCTGTTCTCTAATTTTCCATCTGAATTCTTCTGCCTCGATCTGATCCATAAGGGAACTGGTGGATTCTACTGCAGTTGGCACAGATGTTGGTGCAACGGCGAAGTTTAGACCTTTCCTCAACAAAGATTCCTCTACGTTCGTGACGGGCGGGAACTCATGTTGATGACGTTGGTGGCTTCATAGTTGTCCTGTTCTCGTTCTGCATTTGGGCATTGTTTCCTCACCAAATTTCCCCACTTCCTTTTATATTAGACAATGGAAGTCCGAACTGATAAAATACACCACGAAACATTGTCAACCACCTTCAAACAAACAAACTACTCAGTAGATTGAATATTTGTTAAGATATGGAGCTACAAAAACACATGACAGTAAATCGGACAAAACTTTCAAAACCACCTAAATTTCTAAGTACGTCTCTGTTCGATTCCTTTCACAACCACCCACTCCATCGCGTATCCAAACTTCTCAGAAATTTCACAAGATACGTGGGTTTTGCGTTTCTCTTGATGTTGGAAAAGTTGCGAAAAGTTATTCTCTAGACAGAAGAAGAAGTGGTAGAAGAGAAACGGTAACTGTTTGCGGTATATAAGGATCTTATACTTTGTTCTATGATGAACTAACAAAGAAATGGTATAGTTCTGAGATTATGGGATTTTTGCAAATTTTGAGTGATAAGTTCAAAGATGGAAGAGAGTTTTCAGAACGAAAAGTTTGTTTCTGAATTGTTTTCATGGGAAAATGGATATGCACTATACATCACGAATGGGAAATTATTATCAGTATCGTACAAACCCAAATGCACTAAAAAAAGAATATCTGTTCTGTACTTAAATTATAACGGGTACATTTTTTGGGAAAGAACGTTTTTGGCTTTCCACTTTTCCATATTTATACAAAAACTGTAGGAATCTTCCAAAGAAACGTGGAAAACAAGCAATTTCAAAACATCATGCATGATCTACAGATCTTCGTGTGGAGTTTATTTTTTGAAGGTCTCTTATAGTTGATGGAAAGAATATTAAGAGTATTAACAACTACATGATCTATTATTTTTCTCTCTTCGCTATCATTGATATGGTAGCCAATAAGGATTTTTATAATTATTTTCTCACACTCACTGTATAACTTTTGGAAGGGGTGGAAGATAGCCTTTGGCTAATACTTTTCCTTTCATGTATAAATGTATTTTTATGCATAATAAACGATATTATTGTTTTATTATTATTATTATAATTATTATTTTCAGTGAATATTTGAAAAACAGTTTACTTTGAGATCCTCATCGAACGGTCTTTTTTAATAATTCTACATTGCGTTTGTTTCAGGAGCTGATCAAGACAGAGCGAGCTCGTGAACTACAACAGCAAAGGGCAAATGAAGAAGCAGCTGCTAGAGCTGCAGCTCTGAAAGATTTGACTAATCAAAATCAGAAAAATCCGGATGAGTGAGTTATTTCTATTTGAACATAATACCCTATGAACTTGATAAAGTCAAAAATGTCTCAATTGTTCTCGAAAAATATCAATAATACTTATGATAACTTTGACATTTTCAGTTATAATGATCACTACGATTACGGAATGGACGATGAGGACTTTGAAGGTAATACAATGGGCAATGGAGGCAATCCCTATCGAAATGGAGGAGTCATACCTTTTCCCGATCTACTTGGGTCAGCTGGTCGACCCAGTCCATCTAGATACATGCCGGACTATGCCTATACAAGGAGCGCTGGAAGACCTAGAGCTCACAGACCTACTATTTTCGACACATCCTTCAACGTAAGTGATCCCAACATCAATGTAACTCATTAGCAGCTCAAAAAGTTTATGAGAATTCGAAACCATAGCATAAAAATGAATATTCTTGATCCAACACTGTGTAGCACTGTTTCCACCTGTTATAACTTCCATTAGTGTTTCGTAGTGTCTCTCGACGGGCATTTCGCTAACCAATTCAGCGTCATAAGGCGTCATCCTTCAGAAAAATCAACGAGCAGATACATCAACATCCACTTCCTTTCGAAAGGTTTCAGTAATATACAGGGTGTTCTATAACTACGTTACAAAAATGGAACTGGAGGGGATTGAATGTAAACGATGAAAATCAGTTTTCAACAAAGATAATTTGATTTCGTTATATCATCAAAAACCTTTCAGCAATTCCATGAGTGGCGCTAGAATAGAGGGGGTAAATATTAGCCGAAGCCCCTTCTCTATGCCTCTGGAGAGGCAGAGAAGATTCAATTTTACCCCAAAAAGGCATTGGTACTTCTGTATCTGTAGAGTAGGGAGGGTGAGTGTAGACTCACAGCACTTAGGCCACATGTGACCCATTGTACATCCTCCCGAGAAGTTGTCCTCCTAGGTCATCCTCCATCCTGGTCTTTCCAGGAAGGTGGACAGGTCACTAGGAGACATCTCCTTTATATTGGCAGGTGTAGGCCAAGACTCGTCGAACACACATTCTCTTTGGCAACTCAAGGTGTCTCACGGTGGCCTCCGCGAAGGTTTTGGAAGGTGCAGCGATATCACTGTCGTTGCGCGGCTTCTTCAACCTTCTTGGGGTTCTCTCCGTGGAGATGCACAAGTGAGGGAGCTCTCCTGCAGGGGCAGCTGGTTCCTTGCCTTCAATCAAGGCGGAACTCTTGGCGCCTGCCGTAGGAAGGGTCCTTGCTGTTGGAGGTGATCTGCTCTGTCCAGCCTCATTCCAAGCGGTAGATTGGGGTGGACATGCCTGTTCATCCCCAGCCACCGCCTCATATTGAGGTGAGCATTTCTGTCCAGCCTCGGAATTCGTTTTTGTTGTTTCTGTTCGTTTCATTCATGTGTGTTCCCACGAGTAGCAAGGGAAGAGTTGGTCACCTCTGGCAGAGCCCCGCATTATCAGAGGTAGGCTGATTACAATGAGGTTTCGCCCAGTGCCCCAAGGGGATTATTCGTGACCGCATATCACCCTGCGGCCATTTCGCTGTCGGCACGATTCCTCACACCTCAGCTTGGGTAGGCTGGTCCACGGTGGCATGGTTTGCAAAGACTTTTGGGAGGATTTCAGTTCCCCTCCCCCTGCTTATTTCTGCCACTGACCAGGAGTCCGGCACCCCGTCCGTAAGGCCACATTGGCTTCCCGAACAGGGCTCCTAGTCCCCTGGCCGTTTCCCTACCCCCCACCTGGGGACGCGCCCGATAGGTAGCCCAACCCACGGGGTATCGGTACTTACTTAGAGTCAATTTCTTCATCTTTCCGAAAAAAAATTGAGAACCAAAATAATTATGACTAGAAACATCCTGTATTTTTGAAACGAAAAATATTTCGGGACTTTTTCCCAATATGTTGGAGTGGGAGGAATTTCTAATTTCAATTCGGCGATATAGTTACGGGAAATTCTTCATTAAATCACTCAGAAGTAGCCATTTCTAGTATACATGGTTGTTCAAAAAATAAGGTGAATGAATAGGGAAACTTCGCAAAACATATAATATATTCAATTATCGATTTTCAACTTTTTTATGTTGGTAAACTTGTCTCGAACATATTTTTAGTTTCACCTGTTCAGCATGTTTTAATATTTTACGTGTTAGGCGATTTTATGTTATTGAAAACAATTGATCGAAGAATTTGCATCAAACTTTTAGTAAAAAATGAAATGAAGTGCTCAAAAATACTTGAAATGTTGGCAGTGGCATACGGTGATTGTACTTTGAGTCAGAAAAATGTATTTAAGTGATACAAGCTTTTCATAGAAGGTCGAGTAGATGTGGATGACGATGCTCGCCTTGGACTTCCCAGCACATCAACAAACGATGAAAATGTTGAGGAAGTGAAGAAAATTGCAATGGAAGAACGTCGAATTGCTATTAGAGGAAAAGCTGAGGATGTCTGTACATCGGTTGGTTTATGCCATTCAATTTTTTTGGAAATTTTGAGCATGATGCGCGTGGTAGCGAAGTTCGTTCAAAAAAGCCGAATGTTGGCCAAATGGAGGAGCTCAAGCGAGCCAAGACCAAAAAAGCCCGCCAAATTTGATGTCATTGCTTGTTCGTAATTTTTAGATGAAAACAACACCGTAATCATGCCCCAGCCACTGCATTCACCAGATTTGCCCCCCTGCGAATTCTTTCTGTTACCAAGATTGAAGATACCAATGAAATGACGGTGTTTTGAGAGGAATAACTATGCTATCGAAGTTCACTGAAACAAAGTGGTACCCGTTATTCAAAAATCAGGATTAAATCGGCAGTGAAACAGTGGAAGCCGAAAATTTCTAAATCCAATTTTTTACTCTATCTTTTTTTGTGAGAATATTTCAAATCTGTCGATATTTTACCATAGAAATTTGGTTCATTAGAATGTAGAAATGTATCTCTCTTGAAAACAAAATCGACCTGTCTCAGGAATTTTGCAAGAAACATTCTGCTACAATTCTACTGAATTTATTCCAGTTAAAGGTACCACACTGTATAATTGATATTTCCGCTACTCATTCTGATTTGATTTGTTTTTTCATAGATTTCGGATCATATAGAATATCAGACAATTCAATTCCGAACTAGTAAGATTAACCATGAAACATTGTCAACCACTTCCAAACAAACAATAAACTTTCTTCTTTTTTCAGAATGGATACAGTGGATATCTACCATAAGGGATGATCCTATAGTAGAGATTAGTTAGATGTTATTACCACCCTCATACCAGCGTTAGTTGGCCTTTCAAAAATATCTCCCAGGCTTTCTTAGAGTGAAAATATCTGTATTATATTGTAACAAAATATATCAAAACCTAGATCTAGTTACGTAAAACTATCACAAGTATTACATTCTGAAATATCAGTGAATTTTGACGTGAACTGATTCATTGCTAATGGTATTATTTACAAAATAATGCTACTAATGTGGTGGAATCAGCAGTGAACATTTCGTCTGGACTATACAAGCACTACCACGATTTTTTGAATATTTTCTTGATTGACACAGTAACTTGTACTTTTTGCTTCAATTGACTTGGAAAAGTAGTTAAATGCCCACTGAGCTAGTAAATTGTCTCAGATTTTCCAGTATAGCAGTTCAAATTATCACAGCAAAGCATACTAACTGAGTAGGTATAGAAATATGTCAATCACAGATAGAATAAGGCTGGTATTCTCTCATTCATTGTGAAAGTCAACATATCAATAGTCTGCAAAGGGTATTCACTTGAAGATTGATATAATTCTAGTAGATGGAGAAACTGATCACTCCGCTGATGTTGGTATTTATCATTTTTCAATCGACAATCCAAAAATCCAGTCAGCTGGGAATTACCAACTCATAAGACATTCCTTGATATATTCAGATGATTCGTATTGGAGCGTATGGTTGAATAGAGTGGTGGGTGTCGTTGTTTTTGTGTTTTGTAAATCAATGGCTGAAATAAGTATCTTCAGTGATCTATTTGGCACTACACCATATTATAACCATACTGAGTTACTTAGGAAAACTGACGCTACACGTAGTAAATAAGATTGTGAATTGACAAATGATGAATGATAACCTAACCTAACATAACCTTACCTAACCTAACGTAGCTAAGTTAAAGGGCCGAATTGACGCTACACATTGTAGTTAACATTGTAATTTGACAAATGATGAATTGATCTCATCACTTCATTCGTAGTCACAGATTACTACCACTTTATCAGACTATACACTTCAGTAATAGTTCGTAGTTATGTGGTTTACTCTGATATATGATACAATATTTGAGGAATGGTGTACCACAAAGGTAAGTTTCATTTCTAGAATATTGGAAGTAAGAATATATTTTGTTTCGAGTACATCTAGTGTCATGAAATTGTTGATAAGACTGATTAGATGAATTCGAGTAAGTAACGATAGGGATGAATTTGACCTTGTGATATAATGAACATTCAAAATTGTAGTCTATTCAGGTGCTTACAAATACCATTCCTTTGACATTTTTGAAGAAAAAAGTTACGATATGAAGCAGCCAATTTCAACGCATGTCATCCCTATCAAACAATCATATAATATTGAAGTAAAGGGTAGTGAGTATTCTAACAAAATATATTTCTCTTCTTAGTGGCGTCAACGAATATGTAAAACAGGCATTTCTCGAAAATCCTTTGAAATAACTCCGGTTTTGATAAAATGCTTAACCTTCTAGTTTGAACAATATGTATGATATTTATATAGAAAACAGTTTCGAGTGGATTGTTTCAGGAAAACACTTCATATATTGATTGGTATTAAAAAACAGCTGCTAGTAACGTCATTTGGATCTATTATGACTAGTTATCTTTTTGACAATCCCATTCTTCGAAAGATTTTAGAGCATAATTTTTCTATATACGAATTTGCAAACAAATTATTTCAATGCAATATTTCCCTAAATCTATTTTTCGAAGTGACGACCTAAGTTTGTTGTATCGTGCTTTCAGAGATTCATAAAATTGACAATATGATCCTGTACGTTGTATATACAACGTATTCAGGTACATATGATGCGACTGTGGAAATATGGTAATACAATCAATATCTTCTTCAAAAAGTACTACTTCACATGGTTTTTCGATTATGAAAGTTTTGGCTGATGTACGTTACTTTTTGATGATAATTGAAATCACTTTTTCTTTACCACAAAAAGCTGACGTAGTATCTCATGCACTGAATTTATGAGCGAAAAAGAGATGATTTGTTGTAATATCAGGTTATTTTATCAAAGTGCTTTTTGTCAAATATAAACTCATGATTGGTCATTGTATTTTTTAGTGGTTTGAAAAACAAAATTGTATCAAATGCTGAAGTCATCGATACTATTGAGACAACTACAACTGAATGATCGGCGAAACTTCCTGCTTGACTTCAGTCTGTTTCATGAAACATGTATGTATTTTTTAAATGAATGACCGATTGAAGTATAACCATGATACGATATTTCTTAGATGCTTCAGTAGCATCATTATTATATCCATCAATAATAAATTTTAATTTGTTGTCATAGTTACTACGAGAATTTCTGATTTATGAAGATTTTGTTGAAAAACTCAACGTCTAACTGAATTTTTACGGTAAATATCATACATATCGCTTCAACAATATGGATAATCTTGTTCCCGTTTCAACAAATTTGAGAAGAAACATTGAAATCGGGGATTTTCCTGAGGACTTCCGAGAAAAAAAACTTCGTTGACACGACTATCTTTGATAGGTAGAAGCTTAACATGACTGTACTACTGAGAAACCTGTGAGGAAGGTTCACAGGATGTTTTTCAAAGTTGATCTGGGATTTTGATAGCCCAATATTCCGCCCTCAAATACATTATCGATTATACTTATGATTATGATTGTGATTAACGAAGGAAATATTCTGTGACCCTTTATCGTCTTTTCTCAGGCTATATCTTCAAACATAATCATTTGATAATACTTGGACCACTGATCTACAAGGTACAATTCTGAGCAGATAACTAAATTTGGAAACTTTGTTATTTTTCTTCAGCCATAGTATTGGAAATATATCTTGCTTGTAATTTGCGGTTCAACTTCCATTGAACTTGACAGCAGAAGTTTGGTGATTTATTGTTGAAGAATCACGTTATATGTGGGAAACACTAACTATCAATACTGTGTGAACTTTTAACAAATATTGACCTAGTAGTTATAATGAATGTGTCATTATTGTGATTTTGTGAGTATTTTTGGTGTTATTGAATGGAAGAATCTCTTGGAGAGACTGTAAAACAAATATTCAAACTTTCTCTCTATTCTACATTGTATGTACTATCATGAAACTTCTAGAAATTCTTTCTCGCTTTTCGGAAATGTGATTGCAGTTTCGAACTGAGGAAAATTTATAAAAACCAAATCAACATAGTATAGGCTTTAGTGTTAAATATGATATACAATTGAATTTTATGTCAGATATTTCGATTTCATGTAAAGAACGATCATGCAAAGTCAGGAATTTCCATATAAAATAAGCCAGGATTGAATAGTTTGTGGATGGTTTATGGAATCTATATTAGTAAAGTAATCTAGTTGATATATGTTACAACGCGTCTTCCTTGATATTAAGTAAAGTCCAGTGAAGTTTGAGAAGTTGAAAATATGAACGCTACAGTTACTGATTAGGTACATTTTCCTAAATGCTGAGTTACAAAATAATAGTACAAATGTGCATGGTATATGTGCAGAATATATGTCTGATTTTTCTTATGGAATTCAAATTATCAAGTTCATGAAATCGATGTGTGCTTTAGCAAAAATGGTCTGAATTTCAACTGGGGTTGAAAGTGATCCATTTCAATTACCAAATATTTTTAGATGAAATATTGTTACATGTATGGAACGGTATAGATTGATATGTGACGATCAGACAATAAATTGACGTAGTCTCACATACTTTCCAGAATTTTAGCTATTTATACATAGTTCATTTCATAACAAATTGCATGAATTTGATTCACAAGTGAACACGCTTACTGAATTGAAAAATATTACACATACAGTGTCCTCTAGAGGGATCGAAAGGAACTATTGACAGTCTGACAGAATGTCAGATTGAAACTACAAAGCAAGAATACGATATTGGAAAATCAGTGACAATTTGACTTTAAATAGATGCCTCATAGAGGTCACTGTATAATTGTTCAATATTCAACTGAACATCATAGTTGAATAATAGTGTTAAATAACGATCTGGCTCTATCTTTGATATCTATGAGAACTGATTGTATGCTCAATCAGGAAAATGAAGAAGACATTGTTCTGTTTTTTCAAGGCGCTTTGCCATATTTGTAGTCATGAAATGAATTTTCAGAGTTTCCATCATAACAGTTATATAATTTTATGCAAGTGATGTTAGTAAAATCGTGTAGTTGTTTTCCATAATAATATACATTTATAAAATCTCTCAATGGTATATCTTGATGGTCTAATCTTCCATTCACCACCTATTGAATATTTTTTGGACTCTGTCATAAAGTTATTAAAATAAGTCTTCTGGAAAACCTTCATGGTGATTGAGCAAAAGATATCATTCCTCAAGAAAGGAAAGAAATGATAAGAGCACTCAAAAAAGAGTCCAATATGACAATATAATATTTATGTGATCAACCAAGCTCCTATGAATAGGAATGTATTTTTCCAAATATTTTCTATGCGATTTCATTAGCTTATGTGTTGCTGTAGCACTTCTTGTCATATCACAAACGATCATTTCCATGTCTACTTTCAATTGAACATGTCTCTATCTCTGTGATGTACATGAAATCAACTGACAATATTCACTATGTGTGGAATATGCAATTATCACTACCTGTAGTAGAAATTATTTTATATGTAATATATTTCTATGTACTTATACTTAATTGTTGATTGAATCAATAAATTGGCAAGCATAACAATCATGTGTTTTATATTAATTCACCATTGTCCCATTGTCAACATTTCAACAATTTATCTTTGTGGAGTAACAATCATCAAGTTTCTGGAAGTTCTTCTCCCGAAGTTTTTCAAGTTCAACATTCTGCCAACATCTGACGAAATATGTACATTTGTTACAAATGACTCGTAACGCAACCACAAGCATGTTACGTTACGGCTAGTAGAGACGGAATACGGTAAACGTACTTTTCGATACAACTGTTACAAGTCAAACTATCATTTGTTGGTGTTTAGCCATACATATCAAGGGACGGTAATGTAACGAATGGCGACGAGAAGGACAATCCTCAAAGTGAGGGTAAGGATATCACGCTCTACGGAAACGCCATCTATGGGTTTGACAGGAGACTGAATCCTCGAATATCAAAGATGAACGAGGTTTTTCAAACAGCGCTTTCTGCTGTTTAACTGAAACTCCATCTAGTTGTTTCGCAGTGAAAGTTGCAGTCAGCATCAAAACTTGACTTTGCACCTGTCCGCTTCATAGAGCCTCGTTGATCTTTTATATAATATACATTGCGGTTTCAGACCTCAACACAGCACAACCACAGCTTTACTTTCCATCACCGACGACCTCTTCAAAGCGGTCGATGAAAGTAAATTAACTTGTTCAATACTTCTGGACTACAGTAAAGCCTTCGACACTCTTGACTATAGCATTCTGTGCGAGAAACTCAGCTTCTTCGGTTTTTCTGTGAATGCGCTGTCTCTGGTTATAAATTACTCATCGAACCGAACTCAAAGAGTTATGGTGGACAGTATCAGCTCAGAGACTCTGCCCGTAACTAAAGGTGTTCCTCAAGGATCAATTCTTGGTCCTTTACTATTCAGCCTGTATATTTGTGACTTCCATCAGTCGGTAGAAAAATGCAAAACTCATCATTACGCAGATGATACTCAACTGTACTTCTCCTTTCAGTTCCCTGACATTGGTTCCGCTCAAAACCTCATCAATGGTCAACAGATCATCTTCATTATTTTAGGAGATCTCAATATAGATTTATTAGTTTCCGATAGAAAATGTCAATTATTCAATAATTTATTAGACTCATACAGTTTGGTACAATTGGTACAATCTCCAATCAGGGTAACAGAAGTCAGCCAAACTCTCATAGACGTTCTTGTTGTGAATAACTTACAGCACATTTTGTCCTCAGATGTTATTGATATTGATGGTGTTTCCGATCATTTTGCCATCATTCTTGAGGCTGATATACCCAAAACAAAATATGAAAAGTTTGTTATTTACCGTGATTTCAGAAATCTTGAAGTAAACTCCTTTGAAGAAGATTTATTTCAAGTAAATTGGGGTAGTATTTATCTTTTAGATGATGTTGATGACATGCTTTCCTTCTTAAATGATAACTTAATACAAATTTTCAATACTCATATTCTTAATCGCACAATTAGAGCTACTAAGCCGCCCAAACCCTGGATAACGTACAATATAAAACTAATGCTTGAACTGAAACACAAAGCATTCCAACGATAGAAGAGAATGAGAACACCAATATCATGGGAATACTATGAAGAATTGCGTAATTATGTATCTAGTGCTATCCGCCGTGAAAAAACTGTATATCTCAATTATGCACTCAGACAGAAGAATTCTAAGGCAACATGGAATACTTCTAAATCTCTTGAAGTACTTCGAGATAATAAAACTCCGGCTATTCCGCCGTTTTTGAAAAATTTGAATGATCTGAATGAACATTTCGTTAATATACCAATATTTAAAAAAACCGCCAGTCAAATAGATGTATGCGAAACATATTACAATCCTAAATATGAACCAGAGTTAATTTTTCATAATGTAAACTCGTATGAAGTGAATGAGCACTTTAATAAAATCAGTAGTAATGCTATGGGCTCTGATGAAATCACAATTCGTATGTGGGATTTAGTTTTGCCTCATTCATTGGAATACATAACATATATCTTCAACTTTGCCATTGAGACTAGTAAATTTCCCTCTCAATGGAAACATGCTAGAGTTAAGCCAGTGGCAAAATGTAACGATCCCTCAGAGTTCTCTGATATTAGACCTATAAGTATTCTTCCTGCCATCTCAAAAGTCTTTGAAATGATTATTAAAGAACAACTCTTAGACTACGTTGAACGAAAAAATCTTATTACCTCCGTTCAGTCTGGATTTTGTCCTCTATATAGGACTACTACGGCTCTGAGTCTCGTCACTGACGACATATTCAAATCACTTGAAGGAAATTTCACATGTCTCTTAATGCTTGATTACAGTAAAGCATTCGATACCTTGGATCCTTCTTTATTGTCCATAAAACTCAAGTGCTTTGGTTTCACCGATAATGCAGTGCCACTTATGAATAGCTATCTCTCCGGAAGGACCCAATCAACTCACCTTGATGGTAACCAATCAACAATAATATCAAAAAAAATTGGTGTACCGCAAGGTTCAGTCCTGGGACCGCGCTTTTTTGCAATTTATATTAGTGACTTCCATGAATTTGTTAGTTTTGGTAAAATACATCACTACGCCGATGATACTCAATTGTATAGTTCATTAAGCTTTGAAGATATTACACCTGCTAATGAAAATATTAACAGAAACCTCAAAATTCTATATGATGTATCCTGTGCACATAATCTTACTATCAATCCAAAGAAATCCCAGGTCATGTTATTTGGTCCCAAAATTAAAAGAAATATTGTGTGTGAGTCATTGTCGATCCGTGTCAACAATAACATAATACCTTTTGTGAATGAATGTAAAAATCTGGGCTTGTGGTTAGATACAGACATGAGATTCACGAAGCATGTAAGTCATCTGTGTAAAACGTCATTCGATGTATTAAGACAACTTTATTCAAGTAGACACCTTTTATTAAGAAGTCTGAAGTTGAATCTCTGTGAAACACCTATTTTTTCAAGATTAGCTTACTGCGATTGTATCTACGGATCCGCCTTATAACAATTAGATGTGATGCGACTCCAGCGAATACAAAATAGTTGTGTCAGATTTTCCTACGGTATCCGAAAGTATGATCACATAAGTCCGTCCTTTCGAGATTCTGGCTGGCTTTCACTCGAATATCTAAGAACAATCGATTTGCTTAGTTTCACGCATAGAATTCTTGTTTCGGGATATCCGCCTTACTTACGTGAAAGACTAGTTGCACTATCACACAGTGGCACTTCTCGTAATAGGCATACTTTGCTCATTCCCAGGCATTCCACAGCAATATTTACTCGAATAAAAATACCAGACGAAATTAAATAAATGGCTAGATTCGTGTAGAGGTATTCAATGACAAATTGGCTGAACCATCATCTTCAGTAAATGTGACGCACTGTTTGGAACCTTTGGTGTAGTAATGAATATTACTGGAGTTTTTTCTCAACACCAAACCGTTATTTGAAAACATCGACACGTATATCGATCACCAAGTGATCATCTTCAAGAGGATGATCAAATTGATCCTCTTGAAGATCATCTTCAAGAGGATGATCAAATTGATCCTCTTGAAGATGATCAATTGGTGATCGAAACACGTGTTGAGGTGTTCAAATAACGGTTTGGTGTCGAAAAAAAACTCCAGTAAACTCAACTTGACGGATCAATGCAATACGCTACATGATGTTCGGAGAAAAAAACTCTCTGAACTTCATTTTGTTTATATTCGTAAGGCTTTGATATAGGATTTGTTGGTATCATGTTTTGGGTGAACTTATTCAGGAATGCAGAAAAATGCTACAAGAACGTTTAACAAGGAAGGTTATTCATGATTTTCAAATAATTTTAATTGAATGAACTCGAGTGTGGAGTTCAGTAGGTGGTAGATTTTTGACATTTAATGTAATTTAGTATCAACGAGAATAATGTAGGCTTCAAAAAATCCTAAAAATTGTTAGTTGCATTCAGAAAATCATTTTAATAAACGTAATACAGTCTACGCACAGAACTAACAGAACATAAATTGTTTCAATGAACTCATATCATTTTTTACTTTAATTTCTTGTTGAATATTACAAAGTCGTCAGTTTAAATTGAAAATATTACTTTTTCATTGTTTTTTTCATTTAATGATTGAATTTATCAGGATTTTCAACATTATTGAAGGAATCATTGTATATTGGAAGTTGCGTTGTGGTTTTGTTAATTTTTATGGGAAAATCTTACGACAAATTGTCATTCTACATACTTAGAATCATCGATTCCGTTCTTAAGAGAAATTTGTGTTTGAAAAAAATTTATTGAATCTTTTGCCGATAGACCTTGATTTTACACTTCCAGCAGAAAAGTGCCTTTTTCAATTTTTTCCTTAATTGATCTGGTGATATTTTTTTGTAGTTTTCGCGTCGATAGGTGCATTTTTGAAATCGATGTGGATGGGCTAGACCATGGAATAATTTTTGAGAGTGAAATTCATTTCACAACCATAGTTCAACAATGAATGTTTTCATTGGTTGCCGTGGTCTTCTTTGGTAATAATTTCCAAACGTTTCGACCGCAACTACGGCAGTCATCTTCAGTAACGTGGTCAAAGTACTGTCTTCGAAGTATCAGTTTCAGTTGATACGCAACTGAAAAAGAAGATGCCGCAGTTGCAGTTGAAACGTTTGAAGATTATAACCAAAGAAGACCACGGCAAAACCTGGAAACCAAACAAAACATCTACGCCAGCCGTGAAAGCCTACATTCCTATATTCACAGGATTGCTTTTGCAATTTCCATTCCAGTCAAAATTCCACTCTGAAAAATGTTGATTTCGCTGAATTAGTTCAACTATTAGGGCAATAGTTATACTATTCAATCATTTCAATCCGATATAACAAACAATATCTATATAGTTTATATCTCTGACGGAGATACATAATTTTTTTTATATCTTGAGTGTAGATGGTAGTCTGGTGGTTCTTCAATAGTCTAACTGGTGGTATACCCAGAAAAATATTGGTTTATTTTCTAGTTCACGAATAATGGGCTGTTCAAACTCGAGTCTATGCATGGAGATATCGTAAATTGTAAAATAGATAGAAGATTGAAATTTTCAAACTTTGTCATCATGGATTCCAAATAGCTTTGAAAATATTTTCATAACACAGGATGTTGTCCAACTTGAGCTTCCATCAACTCTGAACTGATACATTTTGAATTGCATTTTTTCATCTGATAAATGGATTCATGTTTTATCATGCAATTCAATCATTTCCATTATTTAAAGTAAGTCATAATTTTTCATTCACGGCACTGATAATCGAACGAACGAAAAAGCGATATGTACATACATACTTGAATGAATAAAGCACCAAATATTCCAAATGTGTGCCCCATGCTCCATTTATTGAAACGAAGAAGAAGTGCCATGTATATTATCAAAAATCATCCCATAGTTCAAGTATAGCTTCGATCTGAGCGATTATCAGAGCCCTAATAAAAAAATGTAATTTCGGTGATGACCATCAAATTACCAAAACTCCCAAAATTGACGAGAGCAATTCAATTCCTTGATATCACATGAAAACTGCCGAGCAAAAAGGTATTGCGAGCAATACCAGTCCATAATTAAAATTTAAAAGTTGAGGGAAGCCCAGTTGGGCTAAAAAAAGTTGGGCTGAAAAGATCATAGAAAGTTGCTTCAGCAAATTGATTTCGATTCAACCGACACTCTATCTTTTACCGTTGATGAGATTTCCATGCACACATCTTTCCAAATAACCCTGTAAATATTAATTCAACAAAATTATCCCTTGCAAATTATGTTGCCGAAGAATCCTGTAAATAGATGTCTTTTAGAAACCTCCTTGCATCTCACAAAACAACAATAAACTGATCTGTTGACCTGTACTCAGGGTAAAGGGATTAAACGAAATGCAGAGTGTCCACTAGAGCAAACTTGTTATAACAGCGGAGGGAGTAGGTACATCAGTCTGGGCCACTCTGCTAAACGTGACTAGATGAAGGAGCCAGGGGGGAGCGTGACCTGGGGGTCCAGCGAGACCTGATCGCTGAACCTTTCGCTCAACCTTGGCTGCTTTGAAGGTACTCAATCACAGTAAGATTCAATAGGCATTATATTACAAGAAGTATCTCCATCTGAGTCATGAGGAGCCAATGGACAAAAGAAAGGGTTTCATTCCATTCCTCATAGTTCATGCTGAAGTACTTTGAAAACCGATTTCATTATCAAGCAACGTAAAAAGATTTTTTCACCTTTGAATGCTTCACAAATTTCACAAGTATTTTTCATTTTATATCCTTTTGTCATAATCTATCCACCGGCTCACCATGATGAGGATAATTCTTGTTTCCACCTAATTCAATAAAATATTATCAGAGTGGACTAGTTCGATTGATTATTTCCAATTATTATCGGAAAAAATCAAAATTGTTCACTCAATCGATCGCATTTTGATATCTCTCTATATGAATCTCTATCATTGTCATATAGTTGTGTGTCTATTACAAAGCCTATGCATAAAAACTAAACTCTAAAAAAACCCATTTTCATTGAACCACATTGCTCGAAATCTCGAATTCTACGTTACTGAACAAAAATACATTCACAACCAGGATACTCATTTCTCTTGAAGCAGATGTGCATACTGGCCCATGTGATGTATGATCATAACTTTGTTCCATGAAAAAGTAGCGAAAAATCAACATGTTGCTGATAATTCGATAGTTCTTAAGTAACATAATTCCACGTTCTGTCATTCAATAAAATGGCTATAAAAACCCAAGCAGCTCAGACAATGATAGAGAGACGGTTGGCGGGGTAGTTATTTGGATCATTCTGTACATCAACAACTATCTAACCTCATCTTCTGACAATGCAAACGTCAATAAAGAATTACATAGTAATCACAATGATGCATCACATTTCTGTGATTCAAACGTCATACATCAGTCAGGAGTGACTTTATACAATGGATTCGTTGCACTGTCAGTGGAGAAGCTCGATTATGAGTATCTAATTAACCTACAGTAACCCTAATAATATTATTGTAATACTAAGGCACAGACCCAGCTCACTGCTTGCTCACGCAACAAGCTCATTCGTGGAAGACAAGCACTGCTGGATATTCTACCCAACATAGGAACGGAAGTGAAACAAGCTGTCGAAACTGGTTCTCCATCACCACCTTGGTATCAATTTGAATGAATCAGTTAGGAAAAAATAACAGTTAGTGTAATCTTCACATTTGGTGTAGAAATGAATATTAATGGAGTTTTATCCTAACCCCAAAACGTTATTTTTAACACCTCGACACGTGTTCCGATCATCAAGTGATCAGCTTCAAGAGGATGAATGAACTCCTTCTTGGTGATTGAAATACGTATCTAGGTGTTGAAATAATGGTTTGATGTTGGGATTAAACTTTAGTAATATTCATTAACAATAACGATTATGGTAAAACAATGGAGTTCTCACTTTTGGAAAACTGAATGGGATGGATCTAGTGGAAAGCGGAATCAATATTGAAACTTCATTATTTTCATATATATCATGCACTCTCCAGTCGAATTTTCACTCTCACAGATCGGTATAGGACCAGTTATCAACAGGAAATATAGTTCAAATTGATACCTGGCTACTCTTTGTGCTTTGTGAAAAAATTACATCTGATATCTGACAATATATTATAGTTTTCGCAATATGAGTATCTTCAGATATCATGTGATAATTATTTAGGAGTTAGCCCTATTATTCAGTGATGGAAATTTTGTTTCTCTCTCATACTGAATTGAAAATGAGTTAATTGACATTTTACCATCACTCTCGAATCCAATATATTTTTATCTTGCTCAAATTCGATTCGAGACCAGTATTATCTCGTTCGTTCAGAAAAAAGTTCACCGCCGTTTCCTTCTCGTGAAAAATGTTCGATTCGAATGTGTGTCATCATCTTAAGAACATTTTTCACAAGTTTCACACAGCCTGTCTTGGCACCGGTGTCTAGATGAGTGGAATACACGATTTCTACTGTCCGTTACTTCAGCACCTACAACGTAATTGCGATAACGCAAAACTATCAAAATACTCAACCAAAATAGCCAAAAAGCTGCAGATCATAAGGCAGTTTGTCGTTGTTTTTTCAAGGGTTATGGAGACTTTGGCGCCACCATTCGTTCGGATTCCCTCGAATTGGAACCTTCTAAAGTCTCTCCTGCTTGAAAAAATCTGTCCGCATCACACATTAGATTTGCACTGTTACAGCACTGTCCTGTATGGTCAGATGTAGACGCTGTAGCGGTATCGTCCATTAAAATTATTGCACTGGGTTCAGTATTGGATGGATGTGTGATCATGCTGAAGTCCTCCTGGTCCAGAGTGAACAATGGAGTACTCCACCTTGGGATGCTACTGGAGCGATGAGTACCTGAAAATATGGAAACTTAGATAAAAGTAAGTGAACAACATTACAATGATTCAGGTGTGACAACAGATATTTCATCTATTTCGAGAAAAAGGTAAGTTATCAGCATGAAATAGAAAATACTCTGTAAAATGCCATGTATATACAGGGTGTTCCTTAAACACATGCTAATATTCAAGGAGGTGATTCATAGACCCATTTTAAGAAAAAAACTTCCTATGGACGTATGTCCTAAACGCCTTACTTTTGAGATACAGGGTGGCAAAGTTTTCAAAAATAATCAGTTTTTCAATAATAACTGAGATAATTTTGTAGACATCTTTGACATATTCGGCACATATGTTCCATGCCTCAAGGCGCATTTTCTGATGTACACAAATTTGTATTTTTTCAAACAGTGGCATCCCTATGGGTTTCGCATTGACTATTTTTGGGGAAAAAGTACTACGCCAATGCTTTTTTCTCAAAATAAAATCATTTTTAAAATCCTCATTTATTTTTGAGAAAATTTGATTTTCTAGTATTTCTTTGTCCGACGCATGATTTTCACTCAAAAAAATAAAAATCGACAGAAAGCAAATTAAGAAATTAGATCAATTCTAAAATGAATGAGAATCTGAAAATTGCTTTATAACGCATTACCAATTTCCTAATGATATTTGAAAACATAATCTGCAAAAAAATAATTTTTTCACAAAAACGAGTTTTATTTTATTTTGTGACAGTAAGTCTAAACGAATAGCACAAATTTGTTAATTAGTAATAATACCAAAACTGATTATAAA